AGACTGGTTGTTGTGCTGTCAAACTCGCGCCTTTCAGGCGGCGACAGTAGTGGTACCGTCGCTATAAGACCCAGCGGACGGTATGAACCATATAGGACTCGTACGGTACCCGGCAGAGCAACCGGGCAGTCTTTGTGACATTAGGGTTAAGTCATAATGCACTGATGGTGTGTTAGGGTCACGCCACTTACTGTGACGGTTTGTTAGGGTCGCGTCCCTTCCCTGTGACTGCTCTCAGATTAGGGTTCCCACTAACGGTTGAGCACTTATTCTTAGGTTTCTAGTGTGGTTAGGATTTCCCGGTTGTTCGTACGGAAAAAACACTGCTCGGAAGGCTTGTTGACATGACCGGCGACAGGAACCGTCCGGGTCCGAAATTTCGAAAGGAGTTCACAAGTTTTGTGCCTCTTGCGCCACTGGCCAGTCTCCAAACGGCGCGCGCATGCTATTAGCGCTGTGCGCGCATGCCGTATAGGGTTTAATTAAACATTAGGGTTTGGTACACCGTCCGACCGTCCACGAGGAGGAACTTCGGAACGAGCCCATGCCATCCGACGGTACCGAAGCCGCCGTGAACAGCATCTGACGGCCAAGATGCAGCTTGATTTGGTCGTCTGGTCGAACGGTCAAGATCGTCGCTGTAGGATACCCACTGGTACGTACCGCCTTTTGCAGAGTAATAGGTAAAATGTCAAACAGGGAGAGCCCTTTCAACGGTACGTACCGCCTCTGAAGTGGGCAGCAAAAGGCGCCAATGGCTCGGCCATCCCTCACCTTGGTGGCGTTGTGGCGTCTCCTTGCATGATCTGAAATTCTGGACAAGAGTATTTTCGAGGAGCCTGTGGCGGCATGCAGCCCTGCATCTGAAGAGAATGTAGAAAGGGTTTTGCCAGGCTATCGAAAATTGGAGAAAAGATTGAAAGTTTTAGGATGGATGTCCACGACAATGACGAGACGTGGGACACCGAAATCAACGACAATATCGTGGGCCGGAGTGTGAGCGACTCCTCGTCCGAGGAGCTGGATGGGGCCCACACCATACTACCAATCAGGGCGCAAGAGCAGGAGGACGACGAGACGATGGACGTCGAGTTGCCGGAAGCGTTCCCCCGCTATGAGTACAACATTTTTAAGGATGGGCTGAACAAATACCCCGCATGGACGGTGTTTCCAAACCACCTGGCCAAATGCCTGGGGGCAGCGGCTGCAATTGTGAAAGCGGGCGAGGAGATGACCAGCCCCGACGTGCAGCGGCTGAAGACGCTGTATCAGCAACTAGCCGTGGATGCGTTCGAGAAGTGCCTCCAGGAGCGGGCGCTCCGGGAATGGCCAGTCACGGTCCAGGAAAATATCTATGCGGCCATAGAGCAGCTGTTGGACTTGTTGGTCGCCAAGCTGCCGCAGCTGGAGCTCGAGGGGGGTGGCGCAGAGGAGGATCTGCACCCCCTGCTGCAGTGCCTCTCAATGTCATTTGATCGGCACTGCGAGTACCACCTGAAGCACAGGTATGACGGCGCCGAGGACTTTCTCAAGAAGAGGAAGTCGAATGCCAGCCTGGGGATGAACGAGGCAAGCACGAGAGCGCAGCCACTTGTGGCGTCCCCTGAGAAGACGCACAATTATGACTGGTTTTGCCATGCGAGGGCAGACTACGTCACCGAGGTTAACGAGTGCACATGTGCTGCATGCTACCCTGGGGTGTCGCACGTGCTGCTGGCAACCCTGCTCAACCGGTTTGGGGAGAGCAAGTACGGGGACGGGTATGCAGAGATTCTGAAACTGCTGTGCAAAGCCGCCCAGCTGCTGCTATCCACAATCGAGCGGCTGCTGGAGCCCCTGGCCCTCGCCGCGGAGTTTTTCACCCAGGGCCTCCTGCAGAAGTTTGCGGAGCCCTGCCGGAACCTTCTGGAGTATATTGCGGAGCTGCTAGACCATGATCTGGACACGTTCAGCGACAAGACGAAGCAGGGGTCGTACGCGTCAGTGTCACAGATCCTGCGCCACCTGCGGGGGGTTTTTGGGATGCTGATGTCGTCGGAGGCGGTGGAGCAGCTTGTGAGCCCGGTGCAGCGGAAGCTGGTGGAGCGCATGTTGGGGTACCAGTCGTTCAACAAGCAGCTGAGCGCTGTGCGCGAGATCAGCAAGCTGCTGAGCAGTGCCAGGGCAAGTGCACTGAAGTGAGAGGTTCCCCCTTCCCTCACGTGCTTTTGTGTTGGCACCACTGACTCTGAAGTTGATTGGCATAGAGGATCTCCTTCAGATACAAGGGATGCATCAGACATCGTCGAGCACATTTACGATATTCTGCAATGGTGGTTGAAAGTTGTGATCCACTTTGTGATCAACTCAAGATTAGGGTTAACCAGGGCGCTTTGTTGATGCGAGTACGCTGCTGGTTATGCACACTTTTGGAGTGGTGGAGAAGCGCTTTCTAAATCTGGGAACTCAACGGGGCACTCAGAAGTTGGTCTAGGAAATTGCTTGTGTTTGATCAGGGCTGGCCCAAGGACGTAAACTTATTTGGTCTAGTGGAGCAATTTGATGCTGGCCTTGGTTTTGCGAACAATTCTCACACTCAACCCAGGGCCACTAATAGCATAAAGGTTGTCAAGAACTCATGTCCCTTCGTCCATAGGAGAGGAAGGGCTTGGAAAGGTGGTTGCTGAGATGAAGGGGATTGGGTTTATGTTCACCAGATATGGTTTTTTTTAAGAACACACTGCAGAGAAGGTTAGGACGCAGGTTGTATGGAAGGTTTTTTCCAGTCAACGTCATTGAGAGTTGGAAGCTGGGGAGGCTCATCTGCTGGGCCGTTTAAGTTTCACAGGCAGATTGTGCAATCATTATACCGAGCATCATGAATATTGGTTCCCAAGTCTTTCTATAGTATGCACGTTTGGGGCAGAATAAGAGACCGGACCTTTTGCAAGTTGTTGCAGTAACACTCTGGGGAGTCGGCGAATGCTGTCAAGAAGCTGACTCTGGAGCATCCTTGCAGGGACGGTGCTGAGGCTGTGCACTCCACCATAGACTGGCTGGAGAAGAAGGACGTGCTTCGCGTCATCTTACGAAGCCATCTGCACCACAAGCAGTATGTTGACCAGGTTGGTGTGACGCTACGCACCTTCTCTAACGGGGAAAATTGTCAGTGGGGATCTTGACCTCGTGAGATCAGGTGGTGAATGGATGATTGATGAGGCTTTTTGGCAATCAGGCGGGGCTCATTGAAAATTGGTTCGTTCCTCCTGAAGTTCCTCAAATCATCATTATGGCCGTGCATTTTGAAGCAGACTTTAATTAGATGAAAAACATCGCTTCGAACATCTGGTGTTGTACCACATGTTTGGAACAGTCCCTGTCTCATACCACCTCATCTGTAAGATCTGTTAACACAAACCAATCTGGTCACTTAATCGATTTGCTGCAGGCCCCTACTTCTTCACCCTTGCCTGCTCTTTTGCCTGTTTGTTTCAGCCGGTAGAAGGGCGCTGAGCCTCCAACTGACTAAGCCATGACAAAATCCTGGTGTCTTACAGGTGAAGATCATCATGAAGTTCCTGCTGCAAGAGCGGCGACTTTCAGAGGAGCACTTGGACGCAATCTGGGCGGCAACTGAGAAGCCAGACCAATTCGAGGCCGTAAGCATATCTTCCTCAAGTGTGCTTACATTTTCAATCTTTCTTGGCCTCCTGCTGTTGTGTGATGTCAACTGCAGCTCACCTGGCCCGGTCTGATCCCGGTATGATCTCTCAGACTCCAAAAAACTTGTATTCAAATCAGAAGGTCAGGAAAGATTTCCCGCCAAGCTCCTGCTGAGCACGTGCAGACGACCGTGAAAGAGCAAACCGAATGGTGTTTTGCTTGTTTAGCGCATGAGTAGGCTGCGGCACTCAGAGTCAGATCTTGAAAGGTACATGGTGTACAGGGTTCCCTTGGCGCCGGTTGTCAGCGGTTCTGCTTCCCAGGATTGGGAAGTCCGGCCAGCATGCGAACTTCCTTTTCTTTCCGTGCAGGTCAAGAGCAACATCTTCGAGCTTCTGGCTGACCTGGCCTGGTCCTTCTCAGACATGCAGCTGGACAGTCTCTTCAACCGCTTTGAGCGAAGCAAGGTAGTGATCTTGATTCTCTTTTAAGCTAGAGAGGGACGAGAAAGAGATTCAAAGTTCTCTCTTGTCTTCCCGGCTTTGCTTCTTGTTTCCTTCCCGAAGTTCGGCGGATTGACCGACAAGACCAGACGGGCTGAGTGTCTGCTGAAAGCTGGCCTCACGAATCCTCTGATCTTGGTGTGAGAGCCTTCGAGTTTCACGATTGCATCTCCTGTCACGGTCCTGCTGCTACCTGGCTTGACTCCTTGTCGTTCTTGCAGGATCGCCCGTCGGATGATGTGTTGAAGGTGCTGCAGCTCATTAAGAAGCTGGCGCGGAGCGACACCAGGGGTGTCATGGCGCACAAGTAGGTGTTTTAACGTTCTAGCCACCGGCTGGCACTATGGACGAGCCCGATTTTGACGACTCTACCATACAAGAGTGGTGTTCCGGTCTCATGCAATTTAGAAAGCAGAATTTTGCCTTTTGACACTAGTACAACGATAGCAGATACTGGGCTTGACACTCCCCCTCTTCTCGTGCAGGCTCCTAGAGCTCCTCTGGAACATGCTTCTGTCTGGGGAGGCCCAGGGCGAGATCCTGGAGTCCAACTCCTTTGTCGAGATCTTGCAATACTACGACTCAGTCAAGCGTGCCGACAAGCAGGTGAGCTTCCGAGGGTTACGTAGCTTTCCTGCTCCTCGCCTCCAAAGATCGCACAGTGTCTAGTTTGCGGAGACTCCGATAGTGTGCTCAGTTCCATCACAACGAAACATAGTTATAACACTGGCCAATGACAGAACTTTGGATGGCTCTAAAGCGGCAGTCAATGAGTTAATGCCTGTTGTGCTGCTTACAAGCAAACGTTTTGGAAATTGAAGGTCAGACGTCTTGCGTGTCAGGTATCTGCGATTCTGCCATCGAGAGAACTTATGCAAGTTCTCCGTGCGCAGGTGTACATAAAGCGCTGCCTCTCATCCATCGAGAAGGGCCAGGCCGTCCTCCCCTGCCTTTCCCTGCTGACGAGTATCTTCTTGCAAGACGACACCAACGTGGCCCTTCAGGTACCTCGTCACGAGAGTTGTTGACAATTTTCGTGCATCAATTCAAGGCAGGGAAATCTCGGGCTGAGGCGTTTTTGAACGGTCGGCCGAAACCGGTCTTACCGCTTCCTTAGAGAGACGGCCGTCGTGACGAAGAGCCCTTCTGAGCAGACTCCTTCTGCTGGCGTAGGCTTCCTCGCTAATATGCCCAGTGGCTTCTCATGAACAGGTCTCGATTGTACTGCCACACGGAACTTGCGTTTGACACCCATGTGTTTGACACCCTCTTGCGTCGCTCGCAGGGCCAATCCCAGCACTCTCCTCGAGTACAGCACATCAACGAGCTCGAGAAGCAGCACGGGATGGTCAGCTTGGTAAGGGATTGCTTCATCATTGTGAACTTCATTTCGTCATCATTGCTTCATGAATGTCCACGTAGGCACCATTGATTGTTTGGAACCTGCCAACTTTTGACTCGCGAGGAGAGTACCTTGTAACCGCTGGACTCTAGACTGTTGCGGAGGACCGATGCCCGAGGTTGCTTCATTGTTGTCGCTTGAAGGTTTCAAAGGCGAGCTTGAGTCGTTTCGCTGTTGTTGTCTTCAAGGTGTCAAAAGTTAATCGGCGACTCTGACTCATAATGTTTATAAAGACTCGTTTATTTCTGTGGCCAGGGGATGCACCTAGCCCCGTGGGTTGATGGAGATATGCTCGTTGCTTGTCAAAGCTTCAGTGGAGGATGCCGCATCTGGAGACATAGCCAAGCGATTCCTTGCTGCTTTGAATGCAGGTCGCAAAGAGTCTCGAGGTGTACATGGCACACGCTCGCTCGCTCGCCCCGGAGCTTCTTGAGGGCGCCAACGGGTCGAAGCCGGCCCCCGTGGACGGGCAGAAAACGCACGAGGAGCAGATCATGAGCAGGCTCAACTTCATGTTCTTCATATTGAACGTAAGCTTCCCCGTGCATGTGAGAAGAGGAACTCGGAAGACAGCAGGTTTTGTGATGTTGAGAAGTCGGTGACGCTTTTTTGTGTCCAATAATCGCGCGAAGGTTTCAGGTCTAGAACCTAGATTGCAAGTCTTCTGTAGGCGAGAAGCTGTATGAGCGACTTCAGCAATTTTTGCAGAATTTGGGGGTGCCTCCGAGGAAAGTCAAGTCGAACTGAATTCTGCATCCGGGAGGTCTTCAAAGCCAAGTCGCTTCAAGTATTTCGACCGTTGTTTGATGAGCAGTAAATATACTCTCCGAGACGAAAGCCATTCGTACTAACCTGTGGCCATTTGTTGCTTGACACAGCTGGTTGAGAAGTTCTGTTGGATACAGTTGAACAGCGCTGTCAGAACAATTTTGGATTTTAAGAAGTGCGTTATTCACAATATTCATCTAGCTCGCCTAGCTTTCTGTTCTTGTCCTTCTCAACACTTCCCGTGCTGCTTGCTCTGTTTGCAGTGGAGCCAGCACGATCTTTCCTGGGACGTCGCGGAGCTTATCTGGGAGTGCCTGGTGGTAAAGGGCGCGTGCAAGTCCGACGCGGATCGAGCCATGACCTGGCTCCACCGCCTGCTGTCCAAGGGGTCTGCTGTCCTCATCTCCGCCGAGGCGCAGTCGAAGCTGCTGCTGCAGAAGATGTCGCAGATCGACCCGGCGGACCTGTCCATGATCGGTTATCAGTAAGAGATCGAGCACTGCAAAACTTCTCTCGGTGTCTGATTGTGCCGCCCTTTTGCTGAGATGCTTAGGACTTGGGCAAGGGCTGCGCGATTGTCTTTTGCTCATAGGGTCGGCGTCAGTGAGAGTGGTCAAGGAGGGGTTGAGGTTGTTTTGAATCTCACTCACTAATGTCATCCGTACGTTCAATTCTGCCCGCAGACTGCTTGTTCTGAGAATCTTTTTTAAGTACCTTTGCTGCAGCTTATTGTGTTCGAGATTCTTGATCATCATTGTAACTTCAGCGCGGGATCTATGGTGACGCTTTTGCGAGGGAGCCTTTTCACCCCACAAGCCTCCATCTGTGTTCGACAGTTACTTTCACCCCACAAGCCTTCCAACTGTGTTCGACAGTTACTTCAACCCATTGGTCCTTTCCTCTGACCGGCGTTCACAATCTCTGCAGGTGCTTCCAGCAGCTGTTCCAGCGCGTTAACGTGATTGAGAAGAAGCTCGTCATCGAGAGCGAGTGTCTGCTGACGGCCGAGCTGGACCTGAGCGGGCTCCAAATTTTGTGGAACATTGCGCTGCTGTCGAAAGAAGAAGCAATTGCAACGCTGGCCATCGACTCATTGCGCATGCTCTTCCTCCACCTGTCCTCGGGTCTGCAGGTGCGTTAATACTGATAGCAGTTCATCTCTTTCTTTTTTGTCAGAAGCTCTTCCGGTTCTCTCCCTTCAAGGCTTGTCTCGTCTTTAAAGTGCAAGTCCTCGCGTCTCGATACCCAGACTTCATCTGATCTGCTTGTTTGCTCTGCTCGATTCCCTCAAGTCGGCTGAGCAGATTCGTCTGGATGACAAACAGCCTGTGCGCTTAAATCCGCTTTCGGAGTTTCCCCCCTCTAGAGGCACCAGCTATGTCCTTGAGGCATCGAAATCCTCAATCATGTTCAGTCTTCTAGGCTTTTGGCAATGTTGTGACTACGGAATCATATCCTCAGCATGGGTTGATTTTTCCTTTCCTCCCTCTTCCAGTCCCGCACTCTCGAGATCCGGAACTCCTTCACGAGCGAAGTCTTCCGCCGTCTGGAGGGCACTCTCGCCGCCGCCGGAGGCCCCACCTTCGTTCGGCCGCCGGACGCTGTCCAGCTCAGCGAGGCGTTCGAAACCACCGCCCCCAGCAAGGCCCCCGAGAAGATGGACGAGGACGGCGCCAACGCCGCTGACACCAGCGCTGACGCCAGCGCTGACGCCAGCGCTGATGTCAGCATGACGCCAGCCGAGGCCCCCTCCACGGGGGAGGCGGGCGGGAGCGAGGCCTTGCAGGCGGAGCGGTGCCTGCGGCTGCTGCAGGTGTTCATCGACTCGTGCGAGTCGCGGCGCATGAAGCGGACGCCGGTGCACGGGGCCTTCTTTAAGGGCCTGCCGCTGGACCTGGAGGTGAGCCCAGTGACGGTGAGCGCAGTTTCCAGGCAGCGGGGCTGCTGGTTCTTCCCTTTCTTTTTGATTTTCTGGCGACAAGTGATCTGGTTTTCTGCCTTTTGCTTTTGCTATCACCCTCCTTTGAGAGCGTCATAAGCTCCAGAACGCGTTCACAAGCTTCAACATCTGTCTAGAAACAGCGTCACAAACCGGTCTTGCAATAGGCAGATTTGCAAAAGTCTCTTAATCTGTTTTGAAGATAGTTGGTGTTTCTTGAAGATGGTCGAATGCTGCAGCAATAGATGGCCAAGTGTGAGTTGAGGGCCATGGGCGTCAAAGCTTCAAGGTTGTTGGCACTGGTGAACGAAGTAAATGCCAATCATTGGGACACCATTTAAGCAACCCCGTGCTATCCTTGCCGCTGCATTGCCCCGCAAGACGAACCATATTCTTTGGCAATCGGACACGAAATAGGAGCATTCAAAATGCGCATCTGGTAACACTGTGATACCCAGTCAACCATTCAACCTAGACGAGTTTGATCAGTTTTTGGAAATCTGGGAGACTTCTCAGTCGACTGCCCTTCTGCCTCTTTGGCCACTTCCTCAGACATGTCTTGTTCTCCCTGCAGCTCATCACCACCATCAAGAACCAGCGCGGCGTCATCTCGTCCCACACGAACGAGTACATTGGCAACCTGCGCAGCAGGATTGCAGTCAAAATGAGCCAGACCCCGGCTCGTATCCGCCTACTCTCGCGGGGCCGGGAGCTGGTTCACGACGCGCGCTTGGCCCGCCAGGAGAACCTCGTCATGGGCGCGCACATCCAGGTGGCGCCGCGCATGCAGGACGACCGGCCGCTGCCGTTTGAGGAGGAGGAGCTCCCGGGGGTGGTGCTGTCCAAGAAGGAAGAGGTGGGCTCCGAATCGATGCTTTTGGTTCTAGTTTTCTCGTCTACACAAGCTGGTGCTTATTGAAGTAGGTCAGGCTGCAAAGGTCCGACGTTCGGAAAGGGGGATCAAACGTTCGGAAAAGGGGAGTCGTCGTTGCCAATGAGGAACACGAAATTCTGTCTGGTTCGGCTCCCCTTCGGATTTGTTGTACACCTTAGAAACGTCAACCTCATGGGGTCCTCTTCTCTGACAAGCTTGCTTCTGAGTAGGTCTCAGGAGCGACGGCAGCCTCCATTGCTTTCCAAATATACGATTTTACGGGCGACCAAGTTTGCCCCCTCTCTCGTCCCCAAGTTGCCTGGCCGTTGGTTGGTTTTCGCTTTCAATCAACGGTCCATCGCCTCCCTTCCATCGTTTGGCTCTTTAACCCGAGCAGAATACTGTGCTCACGCCATACTCTGATTCTGATCCCCCGTTCGCAGGTGTACGAGGTGCTCTTCAAGCTGTGCGGCTCGAATGCGGCCAAGGTGCGCGAGGGCGCACAGGAGGTGCTCCAATTGCTACCGACGCACCCTGGCATCCTGGCCGACCTGTACTGGATCCTGGAGGCGAAAACGGCGGACGAAGTGCACGACCTGCTGGACCAGCTGTTCGGCGCGAAGGAACGGCTGCTCTACACGCTCCAGGTAAGTGTTGGTAGGAGGAAGGTGGTCGTTGTGAGAAGGATCCACACCCGACTTGCTTTCACTTATAGCTCAGCAGATTGGGAAGGTGGCCGGCTGCTTCACGCGCTCCAGGTTTGAGTCTGGATACTGTTGCCCGGGACTGGTGATGTGTAGCCGAAATGGTCATGAGTTGGCTGCCTTCAAACTCCATGAATCTGGAATAGCTGCTGAGACGACTTTTGTCTGATGCTGATAGGCCCAGCCCTTTTGCGCCTTGACCATTGCGAGATTGTTGATATGGATCGTAGGCTGTTTCTGTCTGCAAATTGCCGCCGCCGCCGCCGTTGCTGCCTTACTCCCCTTGCAAAGCCAGGCACACGTCCAGCCCGTTTGGTTTGCTAGAAGGATTTGCTAAGAGGATGATTGTCCATCCTGCTTACCAACTATCCTTTCCTTCCTGCCAGGTCCTCGACGGTGTGCTCCAGCCCGCCAACCGCAAGCTCGACTCCCGCGCCTTCACGATGCGCCAGAAGCTGCTCGACTTCCGGTGCGAGAGCTACCTCACCGGCGTCTTCGGCGCCGACGCCCTCCCGACGAACCTCGACGCCGCCGCACGCAAGAGCCTCTACATGTCCGCGCTGCGCATCCTCCGGCAACTGCTCATCGTTCACAAGACCACGCCCAATATCCCGACTGAGGAACTAGACGCGGATGCGCGCGCAGGCGCGCTAAAGCGCGCCGAGGAGCGGGCGCGGGTACGCGCCGGGGCGCCCCGGACGCGGGAGGTGAAGCCGGCCGGAATCAACGACGTGCCAGACCTGGTGGTAAAGATGATGCGGCTGACGTGGGCGATGGCCGTCGGGCAGCCGGCGTTCGTGGCCTCGGACGCGCCGTTCGACTCGTTTCCGGCACCCCCGCCGCAGGAGCCCGAGACGGAGGAGTCGCAGTGGGCGCCGCCAGACGCCGAGGAGTTCATTTGCAAGTAAGAAATCGGAATATCTCGTCATTACAAAATCTTTTGGCCATAGGGAACACGCAATACGAAAACTTGCAGTTGCATCCTTGACAATGCGAATTCTGATTGTTGAATGTGGTGGTCAGAAGCACGCAGTGTATCAGCTTCTTGTGGTCGAAGTTGGCGGCACGCCGTGCTTCTCCCGACAGCTTCTACAATTCACTTGAGCTCTTTTGGAGCACAGCTCGGATGCCTTGCACGACAGGTCGCAAGAATATGTTCTCTGGGGCTTTTATTGATGCAATTTTTTTAAATGTCGATACCTATTTGCCTCATGTTCGTTTTGTCCTGGACAGATGGAAATGGCTCTCAATCAGAACGAAGAAGAGCTCTTCTCAGGGAACTATCTTTTCTTTCTCGCCCAGGGACGGCCTGGACCTCCTCCAAAAGGCCATCGCGACCAGCGAAGAGTCGTCTGCCGCCTTCTACCAATCGCCCAACTTCGCCCGCTTCGCCGTGGACATTGTCCTGCGCGCGCCGAACCCCTACATCCGCCACGAGGGCGGCACCTTCCTCTACGGTTCCATCCACGACTCCACCAACGTCGCCAAGCAGCTGCACGCAATGATCAACGCGCGCGCGCTCGCGGACACGCTCCCGCGCCAGAGCAAGGAGTTCTGGAACCTCTTCTGCCGGCTGCTCCTCAAGTGGCCGGACCAGGAGGTCTCGGTGCAACTGCTGAAGGAGGAACTAGTGTGGCTGCAAAACGCGCCGGCGGTAATGGATGAAGACGAGGACGAGGGGCTGGAGGGCCACCTGAACGTGCTGCGAACGCTGGTGAAAGCGTTCCCGCGGTACCGCCTGCTCGGTTTGCCGCTGGGGAAGCCGCAGGGGCACGCGCTGTGTGAGAAGGTGAGGCGAGGCGGCTGGCTCGGGGCTCCGTGTATTCTGACAGGCATGCTTTTACCTGGAAGGGCTTCCTCTTTCAAAAGGAAGGGTAGAGCACTGGATCCGTTCCCTTGAGGTGCCAATTTGCCCAGGGGAGGCAGATTGTTCTCGCGACAGGGTGTTTAGCTCCATTACTTCCGCTGACAATTGAGACTCTGGATTTCTGGTCTCAATGAATTCCGCATCGACCTGGGACGCTGGATTTCAGAGGCGTCGACGTATCCTTAATTTGACGGGTCTTCGTGCCAATATCAAACCTCATGCCAGCACAGTACTTCCTCTCTGTCGTATCTCGGTGCTTAGCACGTTTGCATGCAACTCCCGACCCCAGACATTCAAAGGATTTTGATGTCTGCAGGACCTCCCTAATATGTCTCGCCGTAAGCTGTGCTAACGGGTTACCTTCTTGCCTCTCTTGCAGTTGATTAAGCAGTTCCTCTTCCCCGAGGCGGTGCTCCTTCAGGGCGACGACCTCGAAACGCCCCGGAGCGCAACCGGCGCCAGCAAGCCGCTGGAGGAGCTGGTCTTGCAGGAGGCAAAGTGTGGGACGCAAAAGTCGCGCCAGGCCGCGTTTTCGCTGCTCGAGGAGCTCGCGCACGACTACCTCCCCAACTTCCTGGTCATCAAGGACCTGCTGCTCAGGTGAGGGCGATGATTTTGCTGTGGGGATGTTTTCTTTCAATGACGAGTTGCTTCTGCTGTAGGGATGTTTGTTGAGTCACGCAGCTGCTCCCGAAGCGTTTGCAGTGGAGCCTTGCAGGACCTATCGCTGAGGTCATCTGCGGTTATGTTCATTCGCTAGGTTGGTCGGAGTTCTCATTTGCGGGCAGGAAAACGGGCACTTTGAAAGGGGATTGTTTCATTTGCCTTCTCAATCATTTGTTGGCGACAATAATGCTCAAAGTTTCTAGAAGCTTTACATGCTTTTGTCTCAACGCCGCAACAGCACAGGGAGTTTTCTACCATTCAACTTCTCCCTGCTTGTTCATATCCGCTTCTTAGGAACCTTCACGCTTCTCAAGCTCATAAGGTTCTGGTTCCGGAAATCTCCACTGCCTACTATTCGTACGGAACCAGCCGACACAGCCTGCATCGTCCCTGCGTGACGTCCTTCAGAAGATGGCCCCTCAAAAGTCGAAGCGGTAGGATCGGAGGCACTGTACATTGTTCATTTGAACACGAACAAAAGCCCGGTCCAAACATGTCGAGCAGAACATAACATTCCTGCCATTGTTTGCCCAGGCTGCACTTCCGGACGGATCTGCACGACTGGGAGGCGGCCCCCAGCTACAGCCGCAAGACGGTGGGCAACTTCGTGGGCCTCAAGAACGCGGGCGCCACGTGCTACATGAACAGCGTCTTCCAGCAGCTCTACATGCAGCCGCAGGTGCGCAGGACCATCCTCGCGGCCGACGAGTGCGAGGACCTGGAGCGCAAGGACTCGGTCTTCTACCAGGTGAGAAAAGGGGCTTACGCCCCAGCCCGCCTTCGTTCTCGCTCTAGCGGAATCTGCAGTCGTCTTCGCTTTTCTCTTCTATTTCTAAAACGATGACTTCCAAACGTTGGACTCGGACATGGAGCGCAACGACTCGGTCTTCTACCAGGTGAGAAAAGGGGCTCGCATTGCAGCCCGCCTTCGCCTAGCTTGCTCCGGTCTTCTGGTCTTGCTGAATCTGCAGTCGCATTCGTTTAAGTTCCCGTTCTTGAAGAAGTCGGTCCTTCAGTGTGAATACAAACCTTGAAGTTGAGTGGAGGTAGTTCAGACTTCTCCCCTCCTAAGTCACTTCTTTGGGCTGCGGAGCGCACATGATTTGAGGCCAGTCTGCGGCAGGATTGCTGACTATCCTCATCGCTGATCAAGCAGGCTCTGATGACAGAGCTACTCAAACCGTGTTCGTCGTCTGTTGGACGTTGTTGGATATGTATCAGCAGGCCTTCAAAATGATGCATTGCTACAGTTCAATCATCGTCCTTGCACCGAAAGTAGGAAAGATTTGCACGTATGCCAGTATCCTGACAGTAGCCGCCCGGCCTTCGCAGCTGCAAGCCATGTTCGGGGCCCTTTTGGCTAGCAGTCTGGACCACTACACCCCGCAGGGCTTTTGGGCGGCTTACCGGGACATTGACGGCCAGCCCATCAACCTGCGGGAGCACCAGGACGCCTTTGAGTTCTTCAACGTCCTCTTCGACCAGGTAACGTCCTCCGCTTTTGCAGCGCAATTTGCTGGTCCTTCAACGTACTTTAAACTCAAAGCCAGGGTAGGCTGATCATCTTGACCGCTGATGCAGCCAGGGTGGAGCTTCCATTACTTTCTCGATTGAGATCCGTTGACTGGCTTGCAAGCGAGTGGAACTTTCTGTATGGCTGATGACCCTTTCTCGCGCAGGTCGACGAGAAGCTCAAGGCGAAGGGCCATAAGCCGACGCTGACCGAAATCTTCGGGGGAACGTTTGCACAGCAGGCAAGCTTACCTATCGTTAGTTGATGCTTCACACACTACCCTTTACAATCGTGTGCCCTCATAAAGCGACCCTTGCGGCGGAGTTCACTTCATGCTTCATTTGCGGATATGCACCTCAACGAGACGTTCTAGCGCTTGAAGACGCTCATCAAGACAAGCACGCCTTGTCTTTGAGCAAAATTGTGAAGTAATCTTGCCACGTGTTACTTTATGAATCATGCGTCTCAGCTGCCGCTGATCCTGGTCCAGGTTATCTGCCGAGGTTGCCCGCATCGGAGCGAGCGGGAGGAGGCGTTCAACGCCCTCGGGGTGGAGGTCAAGGGCAAGCGGGACCTCCAGGAAGCGCTGGTGAGTTGGCAGCCCTCGGATAATTACCTTCTTCTGTGATTCTTTATTCACGGGTTTGAAGTGCGGTTCTTGTCAAAGCCGCTTTGGCTGGCCATCGAAACTTGTTTCGTGACCGCCTGCCTGAATTGTACGGACAAGCTCAGATTCGTGGCCAAGTGTGTTCTTTCAAAGGCCATCTGCGATCAAGTACCTAAAGCTCCTACTCCTGAGTTTCCAAAGATTTCTAACGTCTCCTCAGGCTCTAGTGGTCCTGCATGAGTGGGTACACAAAGCCTGGGATCCACTGGGGTACACTGCGAAAGATGAGCAGTCTGATGGTCGCCTCCTTTGCTCTGCAGGAGTCGTTTGTGAAGGGCGACCTGCTGGAAGCGGACAACGCGTACGACTGCGCCATCTGCAACAAGAAAGTGGACGCGCTCAAGCGCGTGTGCGTCAAGACGCTTCCGCACGCGCTCATCGTGCACCTCAAGCGCTTTGACTTCGACTATGAGACCATGCAGCGGCTCAAAGTCAAGGTGGGCACTTGCGGATCAGCCTGAAGCTCGAGACGCAGAGTTCCTGTTTCGAGCCTGACCCTAAGGATTGCGTTGTGCGATCCCCTCCTCGTTTGGCGGTTCGCTGACGACGAAAAAGAAGGGCTTTGGTGGGGAGTTCAGCTCGCGCTCACAGTGGGCAGGTAACTCCGTGATGCATTTACTTCTTGAAAAGATGCCGGCAAGACGTCTGTAAGTTTTGACTGGCCCCTCTCGGTCCTTCTCCAAGCCGAGTTGCCTGGTTTGGTTGGTGGTAACTGGCTGACCTGCTATTTGTTGCTTGTGTACAGGACCGCTTCGTATTCCCCATGCATTTAGATATGCACCCTTATACTGTAGAGGGCCTCGCAGCTAGGTGAGCTTTTCTGCCAAACCCTAAGTCCTCCATCAGGCTGTTGTGTCCCTATGTCTTCCATCAAGTTCTTGTTCTCCCAAGCGTCTTCAAGCTTTCCCAGATCAGGTCGATCTGTTGGACACTCGAAAGCGCCCGTTGCACCTGGCGTAACCGCTCATCTCTGGTTCTCGGAGCCGAGTCTGAGTACTGTGACGTCAAGTCTTTGGTCGTTTCAGAGGAACGTAACGAACATGGTTCTGTTATGTTGCAAAGTGGTGACTGCAGAAGGCCATTCAAACGTTCTTTGCAAATTGGTGACTGCGGACTGACCCTGCTGTACATTCCCTAACATTGCGAATGAACTTTTGCAGCGAGAATAACGCGTCGACGAGCGAGGACAACGACGGCGCGAGCACGGTGGTGATGCGTCCGGACGCTTACTACCAGTACGACCTGGTGGGCGTCGTTGTACATTCTGGGACCGCCTTCGCCGGGCACTACTATTCGTACATAAAGGAGCGGGATGGGGACAAGCCGTTCGGCAACAAGGACCCCAACGCGCATGGGTGAGCGCAGCACTTGTGTTGGTTGTGGGAGTTCTTGGGGTAAAAGCGTTGATACTTTCCACAAATTCAGGATCGTGCACTTGCTGTGGAGTCTGGAAGAACTCTCGTTATCAGGTAGATTTCTCAAGATCGATGGTAAACGCTTGAAGGGGCGCAGCAGCCACGACATCCAGTTGAAAAGGGGTTCTAATTTGAAGTTACCGTGGTTACTATGCCACAAATGGGTTCAGTGTTTCGCTTCCACCGATATGCTTTTCATGTCAAACTCCCAGGCATTCTTGACTTTCATTTTTCCTCAGTTACTTTTAGTGTCAGCCCATTGTAAAAGTTCGTCGAACAGCGGCCTTATTCTTTTGCCGACATTCTGCTCTATGAGGTCATCTCGAGTCTTCATCGCTGCCCCGCTTGCAGGTGGATGGTGTTTGACGACAAGCGCGTGGAGCCGTACAACGTTGCGGACCTCGAGAAGGACTGCTTCGGCGGCAAGTTCGTGCCGGAGGCGTACGACAACGGCCTCAAGCCCATGCAGGAGTTCGACCGCCCCAACAGCGCCTACATGCTGCTGTATGAGCGGTCCACCCCTGTGGAGGTTAGCGAGGTAAGAAGGTCTGGGGTTTGTTGGGTTTGGGGTTCCAATCGTAGTTGCGATGCGGTGCTGTCAATCAGACATTGTCAACGGTGAGTCTTTTTGGGCCCCAACAGCTCCTAAATGCTGCTGTACGAGCGGTCCACCCCCGTGGAGGTTAGCGAGGTGAGATTAGCGAGGTCAACTCGTTTCTAAGAATCGGTACAAGTGACGGACCTGCAGCTGCTGGTGGTTGCCGTGTCAAGAACAAGCGTTCCGGCGGTTCGCACTTGCTTGTCAGGGCTTACGCCTGTGCTCCGGGGTTACAATACGAAAGAGGAAGCGACCGTGTTCGATTAGCAAACGCTGATCCTTTTATGATTTCCAATTGCTGGAATTAGAAGCAAAGTTCGGTTCCCGCCCTTTCGCCTCCCCTGACGCATCCCCGAGTGCTGATCGGTCTTACTAATCTCAAATGGTTGCAAATCAAGCACGCGTTCGGTCGGATTATCTCTCTCTTCATCCATTCACATTCTTCTGCCTGCAGCAGTCGTCCCCTGAAGCATCCCCATCGACTGCCGCTGATGGCGATGCGGTCGCTGAGGTCGAGCCGAAGGGAGACCTGAAAAAGCAGCTGGAGGACGCGGTCAGCAAAACGTCACCGGGCTCAGCGTAAGTACAGTCAAGCCACACTAGGGCCGTTTTCTTCGTTGGCTGATGGCCCTTCTGGAACTGACTACACTTAGGATTTGTTGACGCTTCATTTTCGAGTGGTCTCATCAGAGTCGAAGAGTCCCTTTGTCCATGGGCTGTCACTCGGAAATTTCAACGATCTAGTGATGCTATCGAGGTCGTTGTCGCAGCTCTATGCTCTCTCTCCACATGTATCAGCTATTTCGAGTCATGAATGTGGTTTCGATTTGCCGGGCTCTTCAGAGTCGTCGTAGGAATCAGTGGGCGCTTCCAATGACTGCAAATCTGTTGTCATTTCTGCGAGGCGTCACTTCTTACGCGGTTGCAAGAGTTCGACCTGTTGTATTGACGTTGTTCTCATCTGCAGGCGGAGGGGTTCCGTGCACATGCCACCATCTATACACCGGATTGTGTGGCAGGAAAACCTACAGTAAGTGATTCGCGTCTCGACCTTCCAAGAATTCGCTTCCGAGGATTGTCTGGACGGTTCTGGTTTCCTCCTCCCATTCGAATCTGCAATTTTCGGGCGTAGAGTGCTTTGGCTCTGAATTTGTGGTCGAAACTCAGCATCCGGGGTCGAAAGACTTTGATCTAGGATCTGGAGTTCGCTATCCGTCGAAGTAGGACTAGCTACTCTTTTCTTGTTGAGCTTGCATGCATTGGATCAATCCTTCAATGATGGAACCTGTACTCTTGTGACTAAATTGTGTCTCCAAAGGTGTCCTTTCCCTTCTGGTAAGTTTGCTCTGATCCGTTGCTTTTGATCTGCAGGTCTGTTAGCGAAAGTCATCTCCTAGACAGCGACTACTTCAGCTTCCTGCTGCAGCTGGCGACCTCTTGTCTTCAGACGTACGAGAAAAGGTACACCCAGATCCCCTTGGGGTTCCCGATAGCAGGACCTCCAAACCTGCTGAAAATTTCACAGCCCTTCTCAAGCCCCTTCAGAAGCCGTTTGTCCAGCACAAATTTGACTTGCTTTTGAGTCAATACGTGTTTCTTAGGTAGTAAATACTGCACGCAGTGCACTTAGTCAGGTCAAACGGCCTCGTTCTTTCTGGGGGTCATAAATTTGAGTCAGCTTTGAAGTCTTTGTATCACCCCACACGCTAGTCAGCAGACTTGAATCGATCACACCAGATTTGAGGGTAGCAACAATGGAAGCAGAAGAGGTTGACTACGCCGACGCACTTGTTATAAAGTATACCCGGTTTGTGCAGGTTGCGTGGGGCGGAGCAGGGCCAGGAGGAAGGGGTGCAAATCGCCAAGGCGAGCGCCGAGTTGTTCATCGAGTTCCTCATGCGGGTCTATCTGCGCTCGCACAAGGACCTGCGGACAGATCTCCGGCAGTGGAAGGTGAGCTAAAGGGCTCGCTTGTTATGCACCACTCAATGGGGCGAAGTTTGGGGGGTGTTAACAGGGTTTGAAGCTTCGGCAATGCAAAGATTGGTTATCCCCTTTCTTTTGGTTTCTCCCATCAGAAGTTTGCTTACGGGGTGCTCGTTGCAGTTCACAAATTACGGAACGAAGAAGATCAATGCGTTGGCATTCGTACCCGCAGTGTGTCCGAGCTGTTCAGAACCGTGAGCAAAATTATCCAGGCGGTCTTGCCAAGCTCATGCCTTTCATATCTAGCCTTTCGACGAGCAGGCACGTAGCAGTAGTCATAACGCCGCTTGACTGCGACTGCACCCGAGTGCATGAGCAAGACGCCCTATGTTCAACGTGATAGCCTAGCACACAATGTAGAGTCAGAAGTCCCAATCCAACATTATAACCTAAAACTCGTGTCCTTCGTTCGCAGGCGGTGATCATGACGTTCCTCCAGAACAGCGCCCACTTCACGCACCACTTCCTGTTGCGCCTCCTCGACAACCAGGAGTGGCTGCGGGAGGGACTCCTCTCGTGCAACTCGGACGAGGTCCGGACGGTGAGTCACCACAAGTCGAAACGTCCTGAAAACTCGAGTACTAATATAGTCGGAAACTTGAATGTTCTATATGTTGGAGACACTTGGTTGGGATGATATGAATGGCAGCTGAGTGCATCTCCACTCCCAGCACGTTCCCTAAATGCTTGTCTTTCTAAGCGCAGTCCTGAATGAGGGTCAATTTTTTGTTCCCGTTCACAGCGTAGTAAATGTCACTGCAACAACTTGCTATCGTGGCAGTTGATTGACGATTGAATAACGTTACCATGAGCAACCCACGACGGACAGCCTCCGGACAATCTCTGCCCGCAAAAAATGTCCGCAACTTCCCTGTTACGGTGGTTTGTCTAACCCACCAATTTTTCTTTGTGGCAGGTGATTGGAGACTGGGTGGTGATGGCCATGACGGCGGCCGCGGAGTACAACAAGGGCCGCAAGGAGGACCCCATGCGGCTGGGCCTGTTCCTCGACATGCTTGCGCACATCGTCAAGGACTGCGGCAGGCTCAAGGCGTACGTCAAAGAGGTGAGGCTGCTGCGGATTTCGTGAAAGAGCGAGCGCTTACACCAATTTTGCTTTGTAGCGTTTACAACTGTGAGGCGTGCATCAAAGAGGTGAGGCTGCTACAGCTTGTTAAAACGTGGCCTCAAGCATTGGTACCTCTTGCAAAGTTCACACCGTTGATCGCCCACTCTGAGTGTTTCTGCGGCCCAACTCTGTGAAAGCTTTGAAATGCCTTCGGGTGAGGCGGCCAGGTTCGCCCAGGTGCGCAATATCTGAACTGCAGGATCCTGGCACCTCAAAGTCCTGCCTGTTGGGTTGCTCCGTTGGGTTCGCTGCTTTGTTCTGCTTGGTGTTCAAGGAAGCAGATTGTCGAGCTCATACTTCTCTGATCGCTGTTGTATGCAAACACGGGACGCTTTGGAATTTCCGACCTTCTTGACGCGCTCTTTGATGCTAGCACCTCCGTGAAGAGCTGTGCTTACGATCTCGCACGCGTCTTTGTGTCCAGTTGATCGACATCCTGACTGCGTATGCCAAGATTGGGACCCGCCAGAAGATGGAGCTGTTGCAGGAGAAGCACGTCTTCCTACCGCAGCTGGTAAGCTGCGGCCGCCTAAACTCCCGTTGTGCTCCTTTCTGGACAAATCTAGGCATCATTTCGCGGTTGTCCTTGGTATTAAGCTGCTGCGGGAGACATCGCCAGTCTTCCTTTGATGAGCTCGTCGGGAGCTGTTCTGGGACTTAGGATCTCGGCTAGTGGGATTGACGTCGCCAATCTTTCAAACAAATTTGTCAGGAGTTAGTGCGGAGACTCTTTGGGCTTCAAGCCGGGGCAGGTCGTATTGGCCTTCATTTGTTCTGCTGTAAAAGGTCGTCTGCATTTAGAACAGCTATGTCGTGACCTTCCTAGAATCGCACCGACTGCTTTCTGCTTCTCGCATGTAGCGCCAGTAGTTCAGCCCTACTCTCAGGAGGGTTCGCCTGGTTTGCATTGTCAGCGTGTCTATTGTTTTTCAAAGGTGCAAATAGCTTCAAACCAAAGGGACCCACACGGTTCTAGGGGGAAACTCGCTCTGGTCCGCTTAAACTGGCACACCCATCATGATTGTCAAGCAAGTGCCCCTTCAGTCCTGTTCGTTACGTCGAAATCCCCCTCCGTATGCAGATCTGTCCCTTTCGCTGATTTGTCCAATGAAAAGCTATGCCGGTTCTGAAGCGTGTCAGCCTTGTTCGCTTGCAGGCTTTCAACGCTCTCCAGGACAAGATCACCGCTTTCAACTCGGAGGAGTGGGAGGCGCTCGTGCGGTGCTTTGCGGAGCTTCTGCCTTGCTACGACCTGACACCCATCTGCAGTGAGTGCACGCAGACGACTCTAGCTCTTCCTCTTACGACTGTCTCCACGCTTCATGCCTATCAGCAAGCTCCGTTTCTGCAAAGAGCCTTTTTCTGGTTGTTCTATTCCTCCCTGTTCTTTGAGCAGATTAGGATGGTGAATTGCGTTTGTCATGACTATCTGTGCTTTTCTGTCGCATTCGATGACCCCTACAGCCCGAAGTTCTTCTTCTTCCATCGAGGCGTTTAGAGCGGCTTTTTCCGGCCTCGTCAAGTCCACTGTCTTGCCTAAGTTTTCAGTCAACCGGGGGCCCTTGATCGTGTTCCGATGCTTTGAGTGCCTCTTTTGCAGAGCAAGGCACCGCCACCAAAGCGGCGACGGACAAGTCGCTTGGGCAGCTGAACCCGTACAAGGCCCCCGACTCGCCGCTAGTCCCACTGACCGACCACATGTTGGACTGGGTGATCTACCGGGAAGAGCTCTGGCAGCTTATGGTAAGGGCTTCTCTTAAGTTGATTCGGATCGTTATTGCCGGGCTACTTTCTATCTTCGTTCGATAGGCCGAAGGAGCAATTGAAGGAAAGGCTGGCGGTCCTGAAGAGGAGGCAAAAGATCGCCGGGTCTTCGGTAGCCTTTCTGGAGTTATGCTTGGAGCTCAGTTGACCCGGCGTTTTTAAGCGGCGGTAGGCCTTTAGCGGAGGGTCCTTTCCTGATCACCATTTCAAATATGCTTGCTTGGACTTTTCAGGTTGTCTTTTCAGCTAGATTGGCCTGGTTTCAGATAGCCGCGGATCTTCTGCTCAAGTGTCCCTCGATATACCGCTCGATCTGCTTGATTGACTAGATCTCTGATCTCGTCCTTGCGTTACGCAGTTTGAGAAGTGCCACCAGATGCCGGAGCTGGTGCAGCTGATGCAGTTCTGCTCCTGGGAGAACCCCAAGTTCACCGCGGTAAGGGCCGCTCCTTGCAATCCGCTTGAACCCGCTTGTTGCGAAAAGCTTTGTATGAAGCAAAAGGCAGACCAACCTCCACGTTGATTCACAAGACCGGGGAGTTGATCACGCTAGTATGGCAAGTCAATCCTGGTGATCGTACAAACTCTGTACCTCTTCAAGGCCTTGAACGGGTTAAGCAGTGCCACGTTCGTGTCATCGAGGTTTTAGTAACCCAAAATTCGCGGTTGACGTGGACTCTTGCAGTTGGGAGCCCTTCATAGACAGCACGGTCTTGCAACTTACATGCAGACTGTGTGGGCTTGGTCGGTTGCGTGTAATTATTCATTGCTCAATGTCAATCATTCAAATTGGTCGTTGAAAAGGGCCTCTCACGTGCTGTTCTTTGTCCTCCCTGCAGCAATTGCTCGGCCGGCTGCTCAACTTCATTGCGGACGCGCTGAGCCGGGACTGCCACATGATGCCCACCATCCTCGCGCGGATCCTCGAGATCAAGGACTCGTACCAGCGGGTGAGTCCTATGATTCAAAAAATAAGATATAAAATTCATCAGTCATTCAATATCAGATCTATTGAATATGTAGTAAGTATTACGATTATTCTCGAGCCACGAGTACGTAGTACTTTCAACCCCCCGAACCCATGAGAGTTATGGCAAGGGTCACAGGTCTTGTACCAGTATCGATCGTAACAGTACTCGATCAGGTGCTGCATCTTTGATATGCCCTTTTTCGGTGACTCTGAAGCAGCTTATGCTTCATTCAGTCCTAACTATGCATACATCTCGTTTGTTGGTGCTTGGGATTGTCATGAAACAAGCACGCTTGACGAGCTGGAGCTGGTCTTTTGTGCATTTTTTGCAGACCCGGCACATGCTGCTGTTCGACGGGGACAACAAGACTGAGTCGCTGACGGATCAGATTCTGGATGGGGAGGTGGGATCTAACATCCTTCTGCTCATGTGCACTTCTCCTTACCGTCCTTGCCTTGCAGTCCTTCTGCTCACAGCTTTGCCCAATTATAATTATTCTCAGCTTGTCGTGGTCTATTTGCTTCTGTGTTTGGTTTAGAAACTGGTCAGCAAAGGATATTCGAAGGCCTATGGTAGGGGCTTGAGCGCAATCCTGGCTGCATTTGATTCCTGTTCCTTGCGGCTTTTATTCTTATTCTGGCGGGGAGCGAGATACAAAGTACGCCCCTTTGGGTCTAAATTCTTGACATCACGTGGCTGCACCAATCTTGCGTCTCCCAAAGCTCGCTACCTTCTTTGATGGCGTGTTTGCTTCTAGTCGACTCTGCCTTCGGCAGACTGCTCCTCGCAACCGCCAATTTCAAAAAGCCGGGTAGGTGAAAAGTGATAACATTCTGCTTTGTTTCCACAGACGCAAGAAACGAAACGGCGATGGCTCATCCAACTCGTCCTGAGCCTGCACCGCTTGAGCCCGCTGGTCGGCCGGACGATCCGCCAGAACCGGCTCAACGGGGAAGACGGCTGGGTGCACATCTTGAGTTACATGGAATCCAGGTGGCTCCCGACCGCGAATGAGAACCAGCGACTCCACGCAGAGCAAACGATAGAGGGGGTGAAGGCGATGCTTACACCGCCCACAAAGAAAGAGGTTGCTGCACGAGCAGCCTCCTGATTGCTTGTTGGCAGAGTGAGGGGGGATTAGACGGAGGGGTGACGGGTGAGAAAAGGCCCATGTGAGTTGGGCTTGGCTGACTGGTATCGTCGGACAGGTAGAACCGCCGCCGGGGTGCCGAGAACCTTCGGCGGGCGTGCCTGTCTGGAGATTGTTTGTCCGGATATTTGAGTATTCGGTTGTACATCGATAGGTACCATACGTGTACAGAGATAGCAAGCAATAAAGCTTCGGTTACGGCCGTTTTGTTATTCGTGCGAAGATACTACGTATCAATTACCAGATGTCAATGTGCTCTCAGTGCATTTGTCTACGAACGTGACCTGAAGCCAAAGATGTCTTCGAAGTGCTAGTGACCATCCTGTGTGACACCCACATCCAAGACAAAGTACAGATGTCCACATTTGCCACACCGAATTGCCGGATTGTTACCGTGGCATCTCGGGGGTAATGAATATTCGAAGTCGCTTGCATAATCATTCCCTCAGAGGCAGCTCGAGTTACTGACGATCGATCAGAGCATAGCTCTAGGCATTGGGTCCCCGGCATGTGCAAATATGCATGCAAATACATCAGTGGACATGATATGGTGCTAAAAATCCTAGCATTCTTGGTTACCTTAGAGTGGATGATGACGGTCGTCTAAAGTTTTAAGGACTTAGTCCTCGACTTGATCCATGGTAGTGCAGACGTTCAGACGTGTACTTGCATCAGAACCTTTTGCACAAATGGCGCGGCGCTGGCGTAAGCGCGCATCTAAATATGAGTCGAGGCTCTTCGGATATAGTACAATTCCTCCGACATTTCTTCCGGCTGGACTTACCGGACCGCGGCGTTCTAATGCGCAGCAAGGCGCATGCAAACAGTGATC